GTGAAATATTAAACATATGTTTCACGTGTTAATTACTTCATTTAGATGTTAATTATTTTAGGGGGAAATTGGCGTGCAGGGTCCAACGCCGTTTGTATTTAGAGGCCCGTTTGAACTCGTGGACGCTGGCAACAGTTTCGCTGGCTATTTAGATCTCGACGTTACGGTTACTAATTTAGGAAGGTATTGCGGAATAAGAAACTTTTACTAATTGGTGAACTGAAGCTTTGTGAATTTAATCAAATTTTTTTTTCTCACGATATTATTTTCTAAGAACAAAATTTTTTAATCAAAAATCCTTTCCAATACACTGAACAATTTTAAGTTCAAAGTTGAATTCACGAATATACAATTAAAGAAACAATTTATTTATATTTCTATACGACGTGTATACTTCTTCCTTTTTTTTTCCCCCTAGTCTGTGCACTTATAAGAAAATAAGTAAATATTCGCGAGATATAAATTTAAGATAATTGTAACGTTATTTAGAAGCGTCGTGACTCCGTATGCCCTCGCGCCCAATTGCTTCGTCTTCAAAAACCACCCCGACGGACCAGAATATAAGTGCAGCACGAAAGAATTATCGAAACTACCCGGAAGGACCAACGTATTAGTCGGTGATAATTTAACGGCTATGGGAAATCTCGTGATGGACAATCTGTTGGACACTGCTCCACATGGCAATCTGATGAAAGATGTCGCTGGAATTTCTTCGGTGGCTGATCACCTTGCTCTGGGCAGTCCACCCCCTAAATTTCCGCGGCCGCCTTTGGTGGATCCAACGCTGGTCACGCGTAAGAAAAAAGGCAAGAAGCGTGGAAAAAGGAGATAGAAAGAGTAGAAACCACGAGTCTTTAATATTGTAGATATCAAATTGTAATTTACACTTGGGTGAAATTTAACTTGCAGCATTATGATAACAATTAGATTGCACGTGGACGTTAATGAAGATTGAAATTCTCGTTTTTGGTGCATTTAGAGAAACTGATACTAAACAATATTATAAATGATAACTAAATATTCATATACAAATACTCGAGTGTCTGCAGTTTAACAGTACCCTGTAGTTTTGTACACTTCCTGAGTTATTGTAATAAAAATTTCTATATTAGTTCGATTAATAGACTGCGCTCAAATAATAAAACACTGCATAATCCAGGACAATTTGTATCAATTGATTTATATTCATTTATACACCTCACCGGTTGCAAATTCGAAAGATCAACTATGGAAATTTTGCTACACACATCGACTGTAGTCGTTAATAACTCACAATAGTTCACGTATTTCGTGTATTAATTAATTTAAAGATTATTTTTTCGATCAATGACAGAATATCATGCGTCAGCAATACGATATTTGATATTTATTTAATTTCCAGCGCCCTATGAGACCATAATTAATGAGCGATCAATGAGCGTTTAATGAAAACACTTTTCTTTAGCGATAGCATCGCTTTGAGCGACAGCTGAACCGTTTCAACCGAGAGAGGTCCGAGATCGTCGGAATGCGTTTCGGAAATCGTTGCACGAGCCGCCTTCCAGGCAGCCAGCCGATATCCTAGAGTTAAGAACATTACGCTCTCATAAATCAGGCTCGATTCGATTCGGCATAAATCATAATCGTGTCGTCGGGCATATGCAGACATCTTTGCCCTATAGCGAACAACTCCGTGAGAAAGATCCTCAATCGCTCTCTCTTCTCATGATATTCCGTTAACTGCTTTTCATCCGGTGCCGACGCGTTTCTTTCGATCGGTTTCTCGTACACCATTCATACGAACTTACGTATGTGACGTGTGTGCCGGGTCACACGAACAATCTGCAACAATGTGAAATTTCATTTCGAAAATTGTCGTAGTATGCAGTAAATTATAGAAATTACAATATCTGATTTTGATGTTATATACTGCAAGTTTATTAGATCAAATTAATATTTCGAAACGATTAACAGGGACAAAAGTGACGAAATATATAACATAGATATTATTGCAATAAATTGGCGGAATTGTAAATCTGCAAATGAAAATGTAAAAATTATTAAATTTGCCGAGTGTTGCGAAGAACAAGTTGGTTTTCAGGATCTCCAATTCCTTCTCTTTACATCCTAGTAAAATCATTCTAGATTGTAGATTAGGTTAAATTTCAGACTTTGTCTTAATCCCTTGCTTCACGTAGCTTCCAGTATTTTTACTATTTTCGTTAGTCTTTAATTTATCACGCTGATTCTTCGTTCAAATGATTCTTTGAAGTGTAATAATGAATTTTCTAATTCCCTAAATCACAGAGGGCAGAACGAAACCTTCGATCAATTTTGCACAATCGATGTTTCAAGTACATCTGACACAAAATGATCTATCGTCGGCTACCAGCGCGGGTTATTATTCATTTTCCGCAGCGGGAGGAGCGAGTTTTGCGAAACTGCAGTTCGCGTGCATCGATTTGACTTTAGCCTCGTGTGGTTACCGGTATCCCGTAACGACTTCCTGTCGTAGCAGCAACCACGCTGCATATACAGGGTGTGCCCGCAATGTATCTACATAGCAATGACAACGCGTCTTTCGTGAATTCTTGCTCTCTTTAATCGAACTCTCGGGGTCCGGTCGTCGATGTGTGTCGATCGATGAAAAATGTTATTTATTCGCCTGGCGTGTTCGCCGAACACGCCCGGAAAAGAGTGAACTTTCATGCCGGATGTTTTAACCGAATGGTTTAACTCGTTGCACGTGTTTGTTGAATTTTACCAGGTGTCGCGGTGAAATTTGTTTGCCGGGAGGTTAATCGATTACCCGCGTAATACGTGAAATACGCACGATATGCGGAAATGAATTATTAATGCGACACGTGACCGGGACACGCGAGTGCTCTGCATGAGGGAGGCGGAAGTCCGCGAATGAATTAATGGAAGAATTTACGGGTGATCGGCCTGTAGATTGTGATTCCCTTCAGAAATATCTCTCTAATGTGTTCTGTTGTATATTCTTGTTAAACATTGAGAGAACATCTACGATGTCCGTTTGTTAATGCACTTTGCAACAAACCTGCTATCATTCAAACACCTACATGAGAATCTAGGAAATTTCTATGAAACAACTAAGAATTCCTCGTTTCAGTTAATTTGGTAGTTTTAATGTTAATGACCGATTTGACAGTATGTATCAATATTGTCATTCCAGTGCAGTGTTTAGATAAACAGGCTACAGACTTTCATGCAAAGTCATGTGTTTTTATATGGAACATAATTGAAAGAATAGATTCTCGGTTAAATGTCACAGAAGACACGTTTTAAAATTTTCTATAAAAATCGCGTAAAAATTTGCGATCTGTTTGTAGCATTACAACGAGAAATGCAATGAAAAAGAAGTGAATTGAAAAAAAAAAAACATTAAATAGAGGCAATATCTTTTTTTATCCAAGTATACCCCGAGTGTCCCAAAAAAATAGTCGTTCAGAATTTCATATAAAGCAGTTCACTTCACGAATCTGATCAGACTGAAGATTTTTTCATGTTTCATCAAGACGAAATAAACAAATGTATCTTCAGATTTCAATTTTGAATTTGCATAAATATTCACGATCCCTGTAATCTACATTGAGAAAATATATACTCTCCGTCACGGATACACCGTATCTGTATATCCGATGGCGAGTGCGCTGTCTGTTCTAAGTTCGCGCGAACGTTAGCTATTATCTTGCCGGTTTTCGTCGAAGGGCAACAATAATTTCCTGACCGTACAACTTTGAGGACATTTAAATCGTCCGAACCACCCGGAACACGTACGTACGTGTAGCACTTACATACATTTACATCGAATTAACCTCGGCCAACCTGGATGGAAACAGGTTGCCTTTCCGTAATTATTACGCCGCTCGAATTACAATTATTAATTCCGTACACTGGTTCGATCGTTCGCCTAATTAATTCCGCGCATTAATTGACCGTCAGGTTGATACAGAGACTCGTTCGCCAGGGATCGATTGCATCCGAGCGAATAAGAGAATCAGTCGAATCGTTCGAATTAAATTAAATATATGTCTTGGAATTTTTTTTTATTACTCGTGCTTTTTTCTTTTTGATTAATGTACTACTTAGGCGCGCGAATAATACGAGCCAAATGTGATTGTAAAGTAACTACCGGTTCTGTATGATCGAATGAACTAATTAATCTCGCGATTATCGAATTATTACTATCTTAATAATTTTGAGAAAAGTTTCGCGTAGTTACTCGATGGGATAGAATATACATTTCCTGGTAATAATTTATCGAATGAAGTATGGTTCATATCAATTTATAATTGTACTGCAGAAGTAAATGTAAATGTGCGTGCACAATTATTAAATCGTAGTTTGTACATAAATAAAATACCAATATATAAAATTTTGTGTTCTTCTTTCTCTGTTGAGTGGAAATATTTGTTTGAAATCTCAGCATAATTAATAAATTCTCAAGAAAAATGTGGAAGCTTACCTTCCCTTCAGTTGCATCGCGACTTGAAGAATGTTCTATGTTTTATAACTGGAAGCATCCTGCTTTTTAATATCCACAGATGAAAAGAATCACAAATTTAAAATGTGCGAACTAATCGAACAAATATTTCACTCATTCGCATCTTCCACTGACTCTTCGAATTCTCTCTCATCTCAACAACTCCATCACTAAACTTTCAGTCCGTCGTTAAAATCTTTTTATCCCTACGCACCTCTAAATTTACCACCATCTTATCCTCGCAGAACCATTCTCCAAACTTTGTCCAGAGAAAGAATATTTGCTTGAATTCTATTTTTATTGAGTCTCTACTCTGCGACGCTTCTCATTCTAAATATTTCCTGCAGAATTTTTCGAACTTTAGCATACAGTTTCTTTATTTTCTTCACTTACTTTTAATGTCTTTATTTCTATTCCTATATTCCTATTTTTTCATACATATTTTGTATTTCCATTCGTATATTTCTATTCCCATTTCCTTCTTTTTTTT